TTGTAAAAAGAAAAAAAATCAAAACAAAAATACATACAGAAGATACAACATTGAGTACATCACAAAAACAAGTAAGAAACACATTTGCTAAAGAACCATCAGTGTTTTTACCAGTGGGGGTTCCAGGATTTTATACAGAAAGATGGTACTGGCAAGAGAGTAATTGGAACAAGGTACTTCAATGGGGGCAGTACAAAAGGAATAGTTGGAAAAGAGCAATACATCTTACCAACATAGTGACTCACTACAGGGTATTCTGTCTAATGCCAGTGTTGATATCAGAAAAGACGAACTTTGTATAGCACATCACAATTTGGCAGTAGGGGTGTCCAAAATGGGCCGTATTCTATTCAGACTCAGATTCGGCCCAAATCGGGGACACTGATTCAATTAGTTGATTCAGATCACAGTTCCGATTTGATTCAGCCAAATCTGAATCTGAAGATTCAATGCTGATTTAAAGAATCAGTGATTCAGCCATAGACACAGCTTTAAAGGTTTTTTCTACATACCTCAAGGTACCTGGCATGGCTCATGAATCCTGCAGGGATGGAGCGTGCCACAGGAGTGTGGGGAGGGGGCCCATATGCTCAGCAGCAGACCCACAAGAGTGGACTGAAAGTATTTCTGGTCCACTTTCAGGTCCACCATCATGTGCACAGGGGACCCACCCCCACCTCCCCCTGGTTCAGTAATTGGCCATGGAGGGACCCTGGATGCCCCCACAGGCCCAGGAGGCACCAGTTGCTGAGCCAGGGGGAGGGGAGAGGGTTTCCCCATGCACTCCCCGGCAGACCCAGAAGTAGATTGGAAGTGATTCTGGTCCACTTCCTGGTCCGCTGCTGAGCGCACTGGGCCCCCCCCCGGCTCCCATGGGTCACTCCATCTGCCCCACCATCTCAGTATTCACAAGCCACCTGGTACCTTGAAGTATGTAGACAAAACATTTAAAACTGTGTCTATGTCCAAATTATCAAATCTCTCCAAATCGATTTGGAGGTTTCCAATTTAATTTGGAGATATTAAAGGGTCTCCTGATTCTATATGGATTCAGAGATTCAGTTGCCAAATAAGGCTGAATCTCCACCACATTGAATCAACAACTAAAGCTTTACAGAGCCCTGTTAGGCAGGGAGTTCTGACTTCAGGGAGCGCAGGTTCAAGTTTATAGTCAATAGCAGCAAGTTAACAAGTAATTAATAACATTTCAAATCAAATGCAGATCAAGTAAGGAAATGCTTCCAGTGTGCACTCTAGATTTCAGTCCATTTAGAATTAACTCTGCAATCCTGAATCTTGGAATAAGCATCTCCCTTCAGGTCCCTCTACCTTAGTGCTGACACTGTTGTGGAATAACTGTTCAGGATGGCTGGTAATCACGAGTTCAGCCGTTCCATAAAAAAATCTAGCAGATTTGGAAATCATTTTCAGAATTAGCTAT